GTTTCCAATGAGCCGAACCCCCTCTACGTTGCGCTTGAGCCTCCTTTTATACTTTCAAGGGGTCACCGACAGGTGGCAACATAGACTAGAAGGGTAGAAATGGAAAAAGAATGCGGTAGCTGCACCTACCGCTACTGTAGACACAGTGTATCCTACCTAACTCTGACGGCAGGGGACAGGGGCATTGAATGCCCGTCTGAGTTGCCTAAACAGTGCAAAAAGTGACCGTTAGGAGCGCCACCGTTTGCCACGATGGCCTTCTCTTCATCTCCGCTTGCCACCGCGTACCCCTGGCTGCACAGGCTCCCGCCACGCGCCCCTGAGGAAGCCTCATGGCGACACGCGGGTGGGTGCGCTGGAGCGTGGGTACAGAGTGGCAGCGGGCCCCCGGCGAGTACCTTGTCGGGGTGGTCGTCTTGTCGAGTCCAGAAGCTTGTCGCTCACCGGACCTTGCCGGGACGTGTGGTGCATCGCGGCAAGTTTCTTGAAGTGCCGTGGTTGGCCTTCCCGGCAAGCTCCTCTTGCCGGGGCCTTGTCTCTTCCCGGCAAGATCCTCTTGCCGGGGCCTTGTCTCTTCGTCTTGAATGCTTTGTTTTTGAATGGCTCCAAAGGAACCCACGGAGGACTCTGGTGGTCGTCCGGCAAGCCTTGCCGCGCGGCGCTGCAACTGCCCGTGCACGAGTTCGGGATACTAGGGTACCCCTACTCTAGTACACCAACACATAGCAGCGGCGGCAACACGTACGCGAGAATGGGATACGCGCGCATGTAGCTGAGATCGGCGCGCATTGACTGGCAATGCAGCTGGCTTAGGTGTGTCTGAACGGCGCCGTCCGTAATTCTGTGTGCGCGCTCCACGCCGGCCGGGCGCGCCCCGGCCGAACGGGTGGCGCGCTCTGGGCGCCCCGTGAGGGCTCTGGGCGCGCTCCCGGTCGACACCTGCACCGCCGCGTACGGACGAACTAAGGTGTGGCTTTCGCCGTATCGATCGTGGGTTGGTGGGCCTAGTGGCTTAGCTAAGCTAGGGGCGTCGCTTGTAGACTACGAACACCTGACCGTCCATGCGCTTTCTGCGAGCCCGATTCCCGGCATGGCCAGTGGCCTCCTCTCTCGCCAATCGGCTGGCTGGCTGGCTAAGACGAAGACGAGACCGCACCTTAGGCCAACTCCACCGCGCGATCCTATCCTGTCCGGCCCGTCCGTTTAGGGTAAAATGGACAAAGAAGGCGGCCCAGCGCGCGACGGTCCGGACCCATCTTGTCCGTTTTGTGTCCGGGCCGACCCATTTCGAGCGCAAACTTGCGTCGGGTTTGGGTCGCGGCGGACACCAAACGGACGCACGCTCGTCCGCGTCGGGGCCGCATGGCAGGCGGCCACCTACCTCCCACCCGCCCACATCAATGCGCACGAGCGGGCGACCCCACCTGTCATCCGCACGTCGAGCGGTCGCCGTCCTTCTTTAAGTGGGAAGCGTGGACGGGTCGTCGCCCACACTGCCCCACGCCACCCCGCGGCCTCCTCGAAACCCGATAGCGGCGACCACGTCCCAAACCCTAGCCTAGACCTCGCCGGCCGGCCGCCCACAGCCATGGGCCTCTGGAACTACGACCGCAAAGGCAGGCACGACCGCGAGGCCGGCTCCTCGTCGGGACGCCGCCGCGGCTCGGTGAAGAAGGAGGAGCCCGCCTCGTCATCGCCACCACGCCGGGCCCCCGCGCTGCCCGCCTTCTCCATCGCGCCCACGTCCGCCGGCGAGCGCGACCGGCATTACGTCCGAGCGTCGGTGTGCCGCCGTTATTGGGAGACGAGGACGCCGCTCCCCTGGAGCGACGCCCATCTCCCCAATAACTGGCACCTCTCCGCCGACCGGGTCCCCATCCCGCCGGTCCCGACGAGCGGCCGTGCGCGCGACGAGGAGATCGAGTGCCGCCGCCGCCTCCTCCCCGACGACCTATTCTACAACGCCAGGTACGCCCCCGACTCCCCGTTGTGGGACACCTAGTTTCGTGACGAGCACGACACCAGGCGCGCCTCCTTCTTCACCGGCACCTCGACGGGGCCGCAGCGGCCACGGGAACGCGCCCAGGAGCGCGGGCGTAGGCGGGTCTGCGGCGTCATGCCCACGCCATCGCCGTCTCCGTCGCCCCCTCCACCTCCTCGCATGACAGACGAGGAGGAGGCCCGTCTCCTGCAGCGTGTTATGGACGACTCCATGAACACGCACGACGAGCGGCAGTGGGACGGCCTGGAGGAGGCCATGGCCCTCTCTGCTGTCGCCGCCGCGTTCCAGCCGCTGCTGGGTCAGGGGTGGGGCTGGTCCTGCACTGCTCCGGGGATGGCCGCCGGCGTGGGCGTGAACTGGTGCCCCACTCCACCGCGGTCACCGGAGCGGGAGGCCTCGCCACGAGAGGAGGTGGTGCAGCCACGGGAGGAGGTGGTGCAGGCACCTCCGGCCGTCCAGCCCGCCCCCGTCCACCACACACCTCCGGCCCACCTCTGGACGCCGCCGGAGTACGTCGACCTCGTCAGCGACGACGACGACACCGGCGGCCAGTGAAGACGGCCACGGCCACGGCACCGACGGGCGTGGCAGGAGCGCGCGGGAGCGCGGAGGCGTTTTTTTTATTTTTTTAATATGTTAATTATGAAAAATGGGTCTTTTAAGTGGCCGTAGAAACTGGGCCGTTTTGTGGCCGCCCCCTATATATATTTTATGTTTTTTAAAATGTGTTTATTTAGTTTTTTAGTTATTTCGTTTTAATTTTAATATTTCTTTTATTCGCGTCCACCCCGGACACGATTTGGGGTGCGGCCGCGCGGTGCGCGCACGCACGACCCATCTGACAAAGGCGGACACGGACGAACCCATCGGCGCCTCAAAGGGACAAAATCCGGCCAATCCGGACGTCCGTTTGGGGTCGCGCGGTGGAGTTGGCCTAAAAGCGGCTTGATGACGGGATGAACTCTCGTCCCGTGCGCATCACACCAACCAACCAGCGCCCAGGTAACTTTTCCCTTTTGGTCAAGCCTTTGTAGTTACCGCGATCGGTCCAGAACCTTGCCAGACCAGCTACTCCCTCTCTTTTAGTTTACAGGGCGTGCGCATATTCCTAGGTCGTCAATTTAAAAGCTAATACAAGTCATATAATACAAAAAAATATCAATATAAACTTCAGATGTTCTAATTTCAAACGATATAATTTTTGTGTTATATAGTTTATATTAGGGTGATAAAATTGACAATCTAGGTATACATGTAAGACTTGTAAACTGAAACGGAGGAAGTAGCATTGTGAAAAAACCCCGAGAAGTTACACGCGGCGAAGCTTCCCGCGCCGCCGGCGTGGCCATGCCATGCGTGCCTGCCTGCCTGCCGGACGGCCAGGGAGGCGACAGGTCCGTGCCATTTTCCAGGCTCGGTCGACAGATATGCGGTGTTGGATACGGAGAGTTAACTGGAACTGAACCTTCTTGGCGCCTGCACTGCAGTGCATGCCAGGCCAGGCCTTCCGGTGCAGAAAAAGGAAAGCGGGAACTGGGTTTTTCTTTCCACCCGCCAACTTGTCCCAGTTCGCTACGTCAGACGGATTCGACAACGTCGGAGACGGAAAGGGAGGGAGGGATATGGATCATTAGCAGCGGCAGCATCGATCGATCAAATCGAATAATATTTCTCCGGCCACCTTTTGGGCATACGTACGTGCATTGGTCCTCTTCAGTTCTTCCGGATAATATTCCACCATGTCAAGCTAGCTAGCTAGCAGAAAGGCGCCTCTTGTATTGGGATAACAACTTTCCACGCTTCTCGTCACCAGGCAGGATTCCTTGGTTCTTTCTCATCTGGTGCATGCCACAGCTTTCCGGGGCTTATTCTTCAGGAGATAATGATGATGATAGCCGGGCCCCTTGCCTAAAAGGGCCATGGCAACTTTGGCTACTTGCTGGGGCCGGCATACATTTGTTATAAGCCAGGATGAGGTATCTGCTAAATCTTTGTCTATTTCAAGTCATTGGGGCTGTATCCTCGTCACCTTCTGGCTGTCAGACACCAGCAGCAACTTGGACGCTTACTATACTGCTACTTGATTTTCCTCGCCCTCGATCTCTTCTGTCAGAGAGGATTGAATGCAGGCAGCTCATCGCCAAGGACAACACTTAGCCCCATGACCACAACTCCACAAGTGGATGAGAGCGAGTGAAGGTCTGGTGCTTCGAGTGAGAGGAACTTTCCACTGATTCACTCGGAGCTTCCAATAATATTTGCCAGCCGTGGACGTCGAGCTTCAATCATATGCGCATGCAGCCTGGTCCAGAGGTCACCTAACACCTTGTTGCATCACCAAACAAAGTCAACGTGCACCGTAAATGGCTTGATATGGTATGTAAAACAAGGCAAGTGCAATACGAGCAACAGCAAAAAAAAAGAGGAAATTCCACAGTTCAGAATGGCACTTCTCCACATGTTCAGTAAGCACGATGGTGATGCATGAAAATGTAGACCCAGCTGACACATTTACAGTGTTAAATTTTAACTTTGTCAGAGAGAATAGAATAACAACTTGGATACTTATCATTTTCCATCCACAAGTTCATGGCAGTTCAGATTTTACAGGCGAAACATACATGTGCTGGTGTCAAAGTTACAACAGTGCTCGAAGCAAAAGTTGACACCAGAGGCTTTAATTTAATACTACAAGCTTGTCATAAATAATGATGCTGGTCTCCGTTGACCTGATGGTATGTCTAAGAGGGGCGCGCCCTAGCTATCAGGAAAGTTGAATACAACAATGCTGAGGTCAAGTAGCGTTCATCAGGATGGACCCAAGGCTCGTTTGGGCCCTTGCTCCTTCTACAGCTTCCTAGCTTATGCATGTGAAGAGTACATGATCATAGCTCCCTAACTTGTATATGTACAGAAGCGGGCAAGCTGAATAATGATACATTTGTACCAGCGTCACAGATTTCCTTCTTTTTTTTGCGAATAGCCTAACAGATTTCAGTTAGACAGAATCCTCTCCGGTGGATGAATAGTGAATGGGCTGGTTCCGTTTCCGTGTTTCTATAACCCTTTGCATGGCATAGTGACACCTGCAAAGCAAATAGGGAACAGTGCTGTAGTTATCCTTGTCACAGAAAAAAAAATACGAATTGTGGAAGCATAGTACTGTAGTTAACCAACGGGATTTTTTGTTAGACATTTATACTTAGATCTAGTGTAATCTCAATCCAATTAATCTAGAATAGGTTAAGCTCTGCACTCATTCTTCATTTGGAACAGCAAGGAAATATAGCTCTTAAACCTAATGAACTTTCCACATGAATAGAGTACTAGAGTTTTGCCATAATAAAGTTTTATTCCCTGTGTATAGAGATTTTGAGGACATACCTCCACGGGAGATGATCAAGGAACATGTGAGGGGTCAAGTTGGATAATGATACATTTGTACAGAAGGAAGAGGCCAAGCTGCATAATGATACATTTGTACCAGCCTAACAAATTCAGTTAGACAGAATCCTCTCCACTGCATGAATTGAGAATGGGCTGGTTCCGTTTCCGTGTTTCTATAACCCTTTGCATGGCATAGTGACACCTAAAAAGCAGTAGATCAACTATATAATTAAGAAAACACACTGGTGAACAATGCTGCGGTTATCTTTGTCACAGAAAAACCTGTGAACTACCAAAGCATAGTAATTAGCAAACAAGTATTTGTTAAACGTTTTTACTTTGATCTAGCCCCGTGTAATTTCAATCCAATTAATCTAGAAAGGGTTAAGCTCAGCATTCATTCCAAGTTGGAACAGCGAAGAAATAAAACTCTTAAACCCAATGAACTTTCCACACGGGTACAGTACTAGAGTTTTGATCTAATAAATTCCAGAGAGTTTCTGAGGATGTACCTCCACGGGAGATGATCAAGGAACATGCGAGGGGTCACAACAAGGTCCATAAAATCCTGCCGATTCGCTATAAATGCTTTATAACTCTTGTTCTTGTGACGAGTCACAAGTGTCTTCCGCAATGGAGAAGTACCATTCTTTATGGGAACGATATGAATAATGAGGCCAGGGAGGTACACATCTGGCGACTGCCCTTCAGATAAACTTATTGTACACGTGTGATCCGGGGCAGATGAGAGCTCAGCACCATTATTTGAATGAGGTAACCTGAAACTACTTCCGGATTCATCCAAGCCAGCTTCTGGAAACTTGTCATGTCTGTATGCATCACTAGGTTCTTCAGAAGGTGCACCATCCAGAACACCACGGGAAGCAACAGTCAAATTTTCACCATTATAGGTTAATGTTGTTCTAGATCGTCCCAACTCATAGTTAATTACCGCAGTGGAGCTAATTCTATGTTTTGGAGTATTTACCAAGCAAGATATCGCTTGACCAAAGAGGAACACACCACCTCTAACTGTATGCATTACACTCTTTCCATGGATTTGATCATTACTTTGCTTTGCATCGCTGACTGTCTGAAGAGCACCAGAAGAAGCACATCGAACCACAGCGTGTTGTTCATCATGCCTTTTGTTGCTCGTGAAGCCACCCACTAGTTTGCCAACTTTAGTAGAATTTGGCGAAGTATCCTTTGATAAAGCTTTGATAGCAGCACCACGTAATCGAATTACCGAATTCATGGATAATCTTGAGGAAAATTCATCGTTGTGGACAATGCTGCAAGTAACAGATAGCTAATCAGAAAATCAAATGCTGTTGCCACTTGCCAGTAATAAAAAATAATATATGTACAATAAGTTCACTGGTACAGAAATTTGAAGTTCACCTGGTAACAAACTGTGAGCATGCATCTGCTATCACGAAATCCACACAGGGTGCAGCTCCATAAGTAAAGACATGTAATTTTGGAAACTGTTTATATAGCTGCATATATAACACTGGCTAATTGTCAAACATGAATATGTCAAAAATAAATTTAGGGTGAACTCAACAGTTAACAATTGCAAGAACATAGAAGTGATATGATTTGGTGCCTCATGGGCATGTACCCACATTGTGAAAAGAGAGACACCCAAAATAGTTCAGACGCAACACGACACATCACTTGTGTTTTTGAGGGGGAAAGGTCTGTTGTGCAGCTGCTCATGCATGGATTGAGTCAGATGCGCGTATGTGGGCTTTGTCTGGTGAGACTGGGTTGCACACGACGCTGCCAACAATGCAATAACTAGGAGCACAGTCTCGTGCGTGTGGTCTGGGTTTTTGGCATAGTCTTAGGTTTGTACATTTCATATTACAGTCTTTTCTGTTAGTGCGTCGAGACGTAAATTTTTTTATAAAACAAAATAATAACCAATCAAGCGCTGACTGAATAACAAATCAACAAATCAAATGCATGAAATAAATTCCATGCAAATATAAGCTAACTTACCCTAATACCAAGAAGTGCAGCTACAGCACCTCCTAAAGAATGTCCAACAATTTCAATATTGTATCCATCACACTCACATCCAGCTCCGAGCAGCGAAGATAAGAACCCAGCTGTCATCAGCTCTGACTTATCTGCAGGCGGTTCCATGCTAGCGGTTAATATAAAAGACAAGCTATTTATTGCAGTGGTTGAAGTGTTCTTTTCTTTTATTGGCATACGAGGTTCTGCTGTATTGCACTGTGCTAGTTTATAAGAACACGGTGAGTGTGTGTGTGCATAGAAGATAAATCTACACTTAGTTCCATGTTAACCTTGATGAATGGACTGCCCTTCAAGCTTTGTGTACAATTCTCGAGCCGATTCAATAATTCCTGCATGCCCATAGTGTGGAAAAGACGAGAGGACAGTCTCCTTCACTTGAGGGGGCAACTGATCAGAACTGTAATATAACAAACCATTTATAAGGTAAATGAAGAGCCAAATTCATAATTGAGTTCAGAGTGACCATTGACAAACACTAGGTGATGATAAAATCCTACAGATTCTCTCATGGCAGCCTACTAGTGGTGGAGAGTTCCAAATAGTTCCTTTTAGTTTATCATATGAGGGTAAACTCCCAGACTCTATTACCAGAAGACAACGGATCAAATCATTTACGAGGTTCTACTACCAGAAGACAAACAGAACAAAGTTCCTACGCAAGTCTTTGAGTACGGTTTGCTGCCTACTGCTAACAACCGAACTCATCAAGGAAAATGAACGAGTTTATGCTCATCTGATAACCCAGAGGAAAAAGGTGTACATAATCGCCCTGATGAAGCACTGGCCACAGGACCATCCAACCAGCAAAAGCAGTTATGCAGTAACTATGTGATGATATGGATCAGAAAATTCTTTCACATACAAGCCTAATTTCAAAAGGGAACTTTAGTTCACTCTGGATAAATTTCAGTATGACAGATAAGGCTAATGCAGATAGAGTTAGTTACTTGATCAGCCCATCCAAGTCATCCATGGTAAGAGAGCATTCCCTACACAAGCCATCAGTTATAACATCTTCTGGAGTCTCAGTTCCACGAATGGCAATGACTACTGTTCTCAAGTTATGTAAGACAATAACAAAGTAGGCAGCCTCACGTTTTGTCTGCAAGAAGAGAAAAAAACTTAGATTTGTCACAAAATAACTGTAAAGTTGATCCAGTGGATGTGCCAATTTACCTGGCTAACACGCCCTTTCCGAAGTACTTCTGGGGGCACATTGACATACTTTAGGAAAGCCGCTGCATGCCCTCTCCACCAATTATCTCCTTCAAGGATTGGTCGTCTAAGGAAGTAAAGTTCTATAAGCTGATTATGCATCATGCAACAGAGAAAAAAGATATCTCATAAAAAAACTCAATTTGCAAATGAATTTTTTTTATCCTGCAAACTTTACTTTTGAACTCAAGAGAAACCACAAGATGCCATGTTTAAGAGACTGCGGCTGGATGAAAATGTAGTTATCAAATTAAATGATGCAAATGACTGAAGGCAGCTATTAGCTTCAGATCCAGAGCAAAACATTTCTGAGAAGAATAGAACCAATATATACTGGACTAACATGCACCAACTCGTATGAGCCCCGCTGAGGCCTCGATCAAATAACACTACTTGATGTTTTTGTGGCCTCAAGAATGAACGGACACCAAAGTACCAAACTGAGCAGGCATGAATGATCCAAATGTTAAAGATGGCAGAAGCAGTTGTATAATATTAATTCTACAAACAATAACATTTTTTAAACTACAAACAATGATCTGATGATTGATTGCAAAGCCATTTAGAAAGACCTAGAATATTTACCTAGCACGAGTCCATGGAGTTAAAATACCTTGCCTATTGAGCCAAACACAGGGAAACATAAGAGGATTCCTCCCAAAATCAAGTAGCGGACCCTACAAGGAAAAATATGTCAACAATATAACAGAAAACACTGGAAATGGGACCAAGTGAAGGATGCAGAAAGCAACTGTATAGGCAGCTTCAGCAAATGGATGAAACAGAATAGCCTCTTGGATGAGATCAGGAGGAGCTTCCACTTGCTCTCTTGAAAGAACTGTTGACATCTTGGATTTCTGCAACAATGAAAACCCTGAAAAAAATCATTTGTCACAGATATTAGTGCTAAATTATAATGGTGCTAAACAGAAGTATCAGGAAACCACAACGTCAAAGCACAGATAAATACACAATTATTCACCAAGATTAAACAGAACCGTGCTTCAAATGAGAAGGTAAATAGAAAACCAACCTGCTATGAGCTCAAGGTGACCAGTTCCAGATGCACGATAAGCCATAATATCTCCCAACAGTTTTGCCACAACACATATATCGTCATCTTCCAGTACACTCCTGGCAAGGTGAAGGACAACGTTGCTAAGATTGACCAAATATCAACAGAAATAACATACCACTCAGCACCAGAGACATACGAGTACTTCGCCCGTCCTAGACAACATAAAACCTCACGAATGCCATGATCAAACACCTCCCTGTAGTGAGCCCTCCATGCAATATCATGGGTTGCATAAAAGGACCTCCATCTTAATACATCGGAACCTGTGGCACATTGGACTATTGTTCCCACCCACATGACAACAAGAAAAATCATTAACAAGATGTTCTTCCAGTCATTGACGTCCTTGTCGTGTCCTGGTAAAATTCACAGAACATAACTCAGCGATTATAAAGTAGAATTATAACACAGGAATTCCCAAAAACCCTGCACCTAACAAACTAAATGATTTAAGACTGCATTTTTATATATCAGTACATGTCTTCGACGATACAGATAATTTAATCACAAAGAACAAGGATAGATTAGATAAAGAAGTTCTTTGTACTTTAAACAAATTTAGTACTCCCTCCGTCCCAAAATTCTTGTGTTAGATTTGTCTAGATACGGATGTATCTAATACTAAAACGTGACTTGATACATCCGTATTTAGACAAATCTAAGACAAGAATTTTGGGACGGAGGGAGTAATTGTGAATGTACCTGAAAAACACTCCTTCAATGACTTCCCAGATGAGAAATCCTTTACAATAATACACATCAAATAAAGTGCCAGCACAAATTGGAGCACTGTAATCACCATCCCAAACCTTGCCCACCAAAGCCATCTATTGTATCGTAGCTGTCCACAAAATAGTAGTAAGTGATGTCATGATTCAGAATGCTATTATGGAACATCTACAAACCAAGTAGGATATGAATCGTGTTATTAAAACTAACACTTCGAGGCAGCAGCCAAACTATCAACAATAAATCTCTTATTTAAAGGAAGTGGTGCCATTGAGCCAAATAAATCAATGAAACTAACATTACCAAGAATTAGTAAGGAAGCTAAAATTAGCTAGATATTCACTTTCATTCTGTCATGGTGGGTACGATATTTGACGGACTTGGTTGCAGTGATACTACGTTCAACAGAGCAAAAGCCAATGATTGCAGTAGTCAGCATGTTCTATTATATCCTAGCTGACAGAATAAAGTGATGTTTGGGTGTGGCGGATGTGTATGGCTACTGATTGTTCCACTCCCACAGGTTCGAGCAACCAATTTCTTCGCCACAATTTTAATGGTTTTGCCATAGTTTAGCAGAAAAATTGTTGCAAATTTCAGCTATGAACCAAACATGTTGAAATGTTAAAGCCGGTCGCAATTGACCCGGCCGAATCCAACAAGATCACCTATTCTGACCATGCCCCCCTCCCAATTTGGCTACATATTATGACAGTTTCTCATATTGTCGGCCTGTGGCAGTACACTTCTAGTTTAGCTAAGTGAGTTGAGACAAACTAATCAGGTAATTCTTTTTCCTGCAAAAAAAATAAAAACTCTTTCCTTTTCGAGAAGCACAGAACAAAAATATTGGCCATGAACATGACATTATTGCTGTTACCATTGAGTTACAAATAAAGCGGCTCCCAAAATCCATTTTTCCATAATATTGTTTTTTGCACGATTTCGGCATTGATTGGTTTGTAACCGAGCTGTAACTAGCTCGAGGGCAAGGCCGCATTGCTCTGGGCAGCTTACCCGCGAGAGATGGCGGAGGTCGCGGTCGCTGTCGACGTGCGCCCCGATGGCGCCGGCGGCGATGGCGCTGGCCGCCAGGCCCTGCGCGAACCCGGCCACGGCGGACGCGAGGAGCCTCGCCGCGGAGGCCGCGGACGCGGCGGCGGCTGCGGGGCCGAGCGCGCCCCCGCAGCGGTCCCGGAGCGCGAGGCCCGCGACGGCCGCGCCGGTGGACGCGGCGGCGGCGTTGAGCAGCGCCGAGCAGGCGGTGGACCAGCGCACTGCGGCCAGCACGCCGGCGGGCATGGCGAGGCGGGGGCGGAGGCGACGAGGTGGCGAGTGGTGGAGGCACACGAGGCCAGCACTACTAGGTGGGCGGCACCAGATGCCATTGGCGCTGCCGCTTTTTCTCTTATGACGAGGCGACTGCTGGAGCCTGGAGGCGGGGGAGGGGGACAGCGGGTGGGGCCCGGCGTCAGCGGCTGTGGGGTTTTGCGTAGGGTGTCTGGTTGGCAGTTGAGCTGACCGCTTTCTCTCTGCGCGCTCTCATGCGGAAAGGTTCCGTGCACGACCATTTTAGCATTGACGCTGCCGTGCGTGACCCTCGCTGCGCTGTGGGCCAGACGGCGCTTCTGCTCGCCGGGTCCCGCTTGTCATCGTGGCGTAGTGTTGGAGGGCTGCATTTGATGAAAAATAGGTTGGGGTTTCCAGTTGGCACGCCGCGTGGGAGATTAATCATTAATGGCGTGCTTCTGGAACGAGGTGGTAGTGTACTGGTATATGGTTCGCTCGGTCGCTGTGGGCGTTGGAGGTAGCTTAGCCAGGTCAATGCGTCGGGTCCACTGCTACCACATGACGAGCAACTGCAGTGTGGAGTGTGGAGCGGAAAGTAGATCGCTCGAGCAATGCGTATCGGCCACGTACCCTCCTGAAGCAGTGGCTGTGGCTCGCGCTAGAGGCGCACCACAAGATGTTTCTTTCTTTCAACGACGCTCGTCTTATACGATCCGGTGAGGAGAACCCATCAAATCTCGCTTGCTTGCACAACTGCAACTGTTCACGTTTGTGCTCATCATGGATTAGGAAGCACCGCTGATACAGACCAGCAGGCGGAGGCGTGGCGGCACTGTTAGATGATAGGCTTGTGAAATTGCATAGGTTGGTGCAATGTGACATGTTGTCAGGGCTGTATTATGTGGGTGCGTGTAATATGTATGTAGCGGGTTGTTGGCTAAGGGTTGATCTTATCCATGTATAGCTTGGAGTAGAGCAAAGCCTAGTAACATGCTGCGCCAATTGTAATCCTTTTTCTGCTATATAACATGAACGCGTTCAAGCAGAGATTGTATACGTTTCCACGCCTCTTTTCTTATATGGTATCAGAGCAATCAGAGATTAGGTTGCTGGTCAAAGGAAATTTCAAATGATCGATCGTGCGCGACGAATCTAACAAAATTCGTCCAGAATAGCTCCAAACGGGAACACGAAATTAAGAACTTACGACCGATGAAACTATGAACCGATCGCCTGAATGGAACCGTAGCATCGAGGTGCATCTTTTTCGTGTAGAGCTTACCTCGAATCGAAACACCGTTGTGTAGATCAGAGGGACAAGGAAGATAGGAGATTAGATAGAAGCTTACTCGAGGTTGAAGAAGACCTCACGTAATCACCTCGCATCCCTCCCGCCTCCGCTCGTGCAAGGGCCCGCTCGCTTGCGCTCGCCTCTGCCTTGCTCGCAAGAAACTGTCGATCTGAGCGTTTCCAGCGAGCCAGGCCCAGAGATGCTATAAGTTTCATGCTATGCAGGCCCAACAGTGTATACACGCAACAAAACAGGCCGGATTCTTCCCGCGCGGGCCTGGTCGAGGCGTATGCAGGCAACCAAACACATCCCAAGTTTCTTCCCCTCCTCTCCATTTGTTCATGCCGCCACCGAGAAGCCCATCTAGGGAGCGTAGATGGCAAAGTACCTCAACGTCGACCAACCGGCACCACCCATGGAAATTAAGGTGGCCTCATCTGATGGCAAGACCACGGCGAAGGCGCCGAACCCTGACTTTCGAAACTGGTGTGTGCAAGACCAACAAGTCTTCTCATATCTTCTGACAACATTTCCTCGTGAGATGGCCATCTAGGTTGCATCATGCCACACCTTGGCAGAGCTTTGGAACACGATGAAGGGGATCGTTGCCTCTCACACTCGTGCTCACACCATCAACGTCAGGATCGCCCTCGCCAATCTGCAGAAGGGCAACTCGGGAAGATCAGGTCCCTCTGCGACGAGCTGATCGCTGCAGGGAAGAAGGTGGACAAGGAGGACATCGTCTCCCATATCTTGGCCGAGCTCGATGAAGACTTCGATCCCGTGGTCTCCGCCATGTGCTCCTGGGTGGAACCAGTCACCGTGGCCGAGCTGTTCTCGCAGCTGCTCAGCTTTGAGACAAGGATGAGTCTCCTTGGTGGAGGATCGCTGTCCTCTGCCAATGCTGCCACTCGAGGCCGCTTCACCAAAAACGATGGTGGGAGAGGTGATCGTGGCTGCAAGCAAAGGCGACAATGGCAGTGATCACGCCCGTGGCTACTCTAAGCCAGGCGGTCGCGAGGGTGGCAGCGGACACGGCGGCGGCCACAACGGCGTCAGCGGAGGCAACTACAGCTACCATGCCTCTACTCCTAGGGTGCAGTGCCAGATCTGCGAGAAGATGGGCCACCCAGCATGGAAGTGTTGGAAACGCTATGATGAGTCCTACCAGGGTCTGGAGGAGAAGTCGGCCAACCTTGCAGCTCCACAATACGGGGTAGACACCAACTGGTACCTGGACAGTGGTGCCACCGACCACATCATGGGTGATCTAGAGAAGCTGACCATGCGCGCCCGCTACACCGGCAACGAGCAGATTCATACTATAAGTGGTTCAGGTATGGTTATTGAACACATTGGTCATTCGGCTATTCACACCCCAGACCGTGACCTTCACTTAAATACTATTCTTCATATACCTAAAGCCAACAAAAGTCTAATCTCTGCTAGTCAGCTTGCCATTGACAAAAATTCTTTTGTAGAAATTCATCCTATTCTTTTTTTTTGTAAAGGGACATGGAACAAGGTGTTGGGGAACGTAGCATGCAATTTCAAAAACAATCCTACGATCACGCAAGATCTATCTAGGAGATGCATAGCAACGAGAGGGGGAGAGTGTGTCCACGTACCCTCGTAGACAGAAAGCGGAAGTGTTAGGTTAACGCGGTTGATGTAGTCGAACGTCTTTGTGATCCAACCGATCAAGTGCCGAACGCACGACACCTCCAAGTTCAGCACACGTGCAGCTCAATGATGTCCCTCGAACTCTTGATCCAGCAAAGTGTCGAGGGAGAGTTTCGTCAGCACGATGGCGTGGTGACGGTGATGGTGATGTGATCCGCGCAGGGCTTCGCCTAAGCAGTACGGAAATATGACCGGAGGAGTAAACCGTGGAGGGAGACACCGTACACAGCTTGGAACAATTGATGTGTCTCCAAGGGGTGCCCTGCCCGCGTATATAAAGGAGGGAGAGGGAGGAGGGCGGCCCTAAGGGGCACGCCAAGTGGGGGGAGTCCTACTAGGACTCCCAGTCCTAGTAGGATTCGGCCCCTCTTATCTTTACCTAATAATAAAAGACGGAAGATTTCATAGTTCTCCATAAGTCATTCTTTTCTATCCATTGATTTTATGCTTTTCATATAAAGATTGACGGCTGAGATTTAAAAGTATGTTTTTTTCCTTTCTACGAGCAAGAAGACCCAAGTGTACTACCCGACCTCGCATCCTTCGTCCAAATCCATCGCTAGAAGAAAACCTATCGTGACACCATGGTCAACCAGAACTCGGATCCAATTCCAAAACAAACAGGGGATCGCCAAAGCGCTCGACGCGGTCCAGCGAGGTGAGCACGAGATCAAAAGCGAAGGTCCGGACGGCAATAGGCTTTCAATCGTAGCTCAGGATGTGCTCCACTTTGTTGCAGATAGCCAGCGGCGGCGAGGGGATAGGGAGGTGGCGGCACTACGTAGGTACACACCGCCGTGGGCACCATCACCGTCCTCTCCTACGTTCCTCCCCAGCCGTGAGATCGCAGCCTCACAGGACTACAAGTCTGTATTAACAACGGTCGAGGCCGACCCGAGTGATTCCCAAGTCATCATCATCGGGATCCCTTCCTCCACCGATCCCGCACCAGGGCATCATCATTGCCGTCCACGCGGCGACGCCGAGCACACCAATCGGCGGTGTCATGTGCTTGTAATCCTCCATGAGCCACACCAAGCGGACGGTCCATGAAGCCAGCCTCGCCGCTCCCCATCTGTTGGAGAACGTTGCAGAAAACAAAAAATTTCCTACGGTTTCACCAAGATCCATCTATGAGTTCATCTAGCAACGAGTGATTGGATTGCATCTACATACCTTTGTAGATCACACGCGGAAGCGTTCAAAGAACGGGGATGAGGAAGTCGTACTCGACGTGATCCAAATCACCGGAGATCCTAGCGCCGAACGGACGGCACCTCCGCGTTCAACACACGTACGGTCAGCGTAACGTCTCCTTCTTCTTGATCCAGCAAGGGGGAAGGAGAGGTTGAGGGAGATGGCTCCAGCAGCAGCACGACGGCGTGGTGGTGATGGAGCTGCAGTACTCCGGCAGGGCTTCGCTAAGCACTATGGAGGAGGAGGATGTGTTGGAGAGGGAGAGGGAGGCACCAAAGGCGTGTTTTGAGAGGCCCTCCTTTCCCCACTATATATAGGGAGTCCAAGGGGGGGGGGGGCGGCCCTAGGAGATCCAATCTCCTAGGGGGGTGCGGCCAAGGGAGGAATCCCTCCTCCCCAAGGCACATAGGAGGTGCCTTCCCCTTTTGGGACTCTTCCCTTCCTTGAACCCTAGGCGCATGGGCCTCTTGGGGCTGGTGCCCTTGGCCCATATAGGCCAAGTTGCACCTCCTACAGCCCATGTGGCCCCCCGAGGCAGGTGGCCCCACCCGGTGGACCCCCGGGCCCCTTCCGGTGGTCCCGGTACAATACCGGTGACCCCGAAACTTGTCCCGATGCCCGAAATAGCACTTCCTATATATAATTCTTTACCTCCGGACCATTCCGGAACTCCTCGTGACGTCCAGGATCTCATCCGGGACTCCGAACAACATTCGGGTTACTGCATATACATATCCCTACAACCCTAGCGTCACCGAACCTTAAGTGTGTAGACCCTACGGGTTCGGGAGACATGTAGACATGACCGAGACGACTCTCTGGCCAATAACCAACAGCGGGATCTGGATACCCATGTTGGCTCCCACATGCTCCTCGATGATCTCATCGGATGAACCACGATGTCGAGGATTCAAGCAACCCCGTATACAATTCCCTTTGTCAATCGGTATGTTAGTTGCCCGAGATCCGATCGCCGGTATCCCAATACCTCGTTCAATCTCGTTACCGGCAAGTCACTTTACTCGTAGCTTGGGTCCATTCTTTGGCTTCTTCCCGGCAGCTTGCTTGCCGGGCGCGGCAACTCCCTTGCCGTCCTTCTTGAAATCTTTCTTTCCCTTGCCCTTCTTGAACTTAGTGGTTTTATTCACCATCAACACTTGATGTTCCTTTTTGACTTCTACCTCTGCTGATTTCAGCATTGCAAATACTTCAGGAATGGTCTTTTCCATCCCCTGCATATTGAAGTTCATCACAAAGCTCTTGTAGCTCGGTGGAAGCGACTGAAGGATTCTGTCAATGACCGCGTCATCCAGGAGATTAACTCCCAGCTGAGTCAAGCGGTTATGCAACCCAGACATAGTGAGTATGTGCTCACTGACAGAACTGTTTTCCTCCATCTTACAGCTGAAGAATTTGTCGAAGACTTGATATCTCTCGACCCAGGCATGAGCTTGGAAAACCATTTTCAGCTCTTCGAACATCTCATATGCTCCGTGTCTCTCAAAACGCTTTTGGAGCCCCGGCTCTAAGCTGTAAAGCATGCCGCACTGAACAAGGGAGTAGTCATTGGTGCGTGTCTGCCAAGCGTTCATAATGTCTTGTTCTGCAGGGAGAACAGGTGTGTCACCTAGCGGTGCTTGTAGGACATAATCTTTCTTGGCAGCCATGAGGATGATCCTCAGGTTCCGGACCAAGTCCGTGTAGTTGCTGC